CTGAATTGAAAATTAATTGATCTTAATCTATAACCGTGTTCTCAACTGGTGTGTGTGCGCAGATCTGTTTGAATAAGGTTGCATAGAGTAGGGCAAAAACAATTCTAAATGCACATAATAAAATGCAGCTACTTACGAATGCGTACTTGCATTAAAACAATGCATAAAAACCATAATTTCCTTAATGGTGTAAATGTATGAAAACAGCGTTTCACTGCACTGCTGGATCTGTGGTTCATTTTGCATAAAGATGTTCAGAGACAAAGAGCACCTGATAATGTTTTACTTTAAAAGATGCCTGTGCATTTGCAAAAAGAGTACTTAAGACAGTACCTTCATGAAAATTCAAAGGCTGATCCTTGAACTTGCTAAAGACACTGTGTATTTAAAAAAATACTATTCTCTGAACTTCAAAAACATTTCTTCTCTTTTAACTACAGGATTCAGAAGAGCTGTTTTCATATGCCAGGATATTAGCAAGAGTTTGGACACAAAAGAGAGGAAAAAGGACTGTGAAACTGACTCATCAAATTCACTTTCTATTCTGCTTCACACACACACACACACAGTCTGAAACAGCCACTGTAACCCCTAATCACAAATCCAAAGGCTGGACATCAAATGCTGCAACGTTGAAAACAGATGATCAGAGGTAATTAACGCAGTTTCATATGCAAATTTAATTAATGCAAAACTACAAAGTCATTATGCAAATGGCGTCTTCTTGAGCCGCTGTGCAAATATTCATCACTTGAAATAGGGATCAGTCTCCCATCTTTAGAAACTCTCTCACAACACACACACACTGTTCTCTTAGGATCATGTGTGAATAGTGTATTTATTTTAAACTTCTTTCCATTGATGCCAGACTGGGGCCATCAGAGCAGACAGCTGAGAGGCAGGAAGACACGATTTGGCACAGGAGTGAGACAATGAGACTGTTAGACCGGCACGGTATGAATATTCATGACACTGATTACTTTCCATGATTAAAGCCTACTCTAATATTTAAATGAGTGCATGCTAGGTGATTAGAGGAGCGTTGGAAAGGACAAACGCGTGATGCGGTACACTTTCTGCCGCGTTCATGGAGTATGATTAGCTAGATAGTTCAGAGATTGATTAGAAACTAAGGGCAGTTTCACATCTGAGGGATAGGATTTGAAAATAGCATGAATGATGCTGGTATGCACTTGATGGAGGTATTTCATCAAAAACTGCAGGTAATAGGCACTTCCCTTGAATACGGTGCAAATTGGTGTCCTGTTCATTATTCAACACAGCAAATGTATGAAATCCCATATCATCTAATCCCAAATCAACTATTATCTAACGAAAATAAACCTAGCATGAGAAGTAGTAGCTAGTTTTAAACTTTTCAAATGTCTGAATCTTCTATATTGGAGGAACGAAGAAAAAGTGAACTTAGAGACACATTTTTTGACATAGGCATAAATATGTGAGTTTTAAGTAACAGAATTTAAAACTGTAAAAAAAAAGGTAACAATATTTTAATGCGATTTAGTTACACACATACATGTACCCTAACCCTAACTTTGACCCTATAGTAAGTACATGTAGTTAATTAATTTAACTGATTACTTAAATAAGGCTTTCATTTTTGGTGTTTGCTCAGTTATTTTTCTTCCACAGAACAGAAAAGGAGATATTTAACAGAATGTTCATGCTGCCCTTTTCCATATAAAGTGAATTGGGTTTGTTGCTCCAAAAATGACTAAAATAAGTCTGTACGAGTCACACACTGCAAGTATTTTAAAAACAATAGTTTTGTGCGAAGAACAGACTGAATGTTTCCTGAAAATCTTCTCAAATCCTATTTGCGCATACATATATTCAAACTGTATGTGTGAACGTTTTGAAGCTGTATTTAGTTAATTAATAATTAAGTTAATTTAATTATGAATTCTTAATATACCATTTTTATTATTAATTTGTCATTATTGATTTTTATATTTTGTACATACATTTTGTATTTATAAGTAATTTAATAACAATGCATGAATAAATGTGACATTCAAAGTCAGTAAACTCATTAATTAATAGTTTAAAAAAAAATCGGATCATGATTCCCAGAATCTGAATCATATCAGAACCTGCAAGTGCCTAAAGATTCCATTCAATTTCATATTTTTAAACATGTGACCGCTCTGCTCCCCATTTGCGAAGCAATATTAAAGTAAACAGTGACAACATTTTCAAAATGGCCTTTTCTGTGTCAATTATGTCTTAACCAAAAAAACTGCTATCTTAAAATTACTTTTGAACAGACGAGCCATTCTAGCATTAATTAAAACATTTCCACTGAGATGTGAAGGGGTTAACGCACACCCATCAGGTTTGGCGTTTTGGCCCACAGCATGCACGGCTTTTGCCTCTAGGCCGCCATAGCTCCATATTGTATTTAATTAGCCCCATTAAATATAATCTAATTTGGCTGAAACTTAAGACAGTTAAGTGGCAATCTAATGTGTTGAGCAAAGCTTTCATGCTCTGGAAATATTTAATTCAAGCCTAAAGCACCTTCTTGCCCTGCATTTCTGTGGATAACCTTGACGGCTTCTCCACTTCTGTCAACGAAGCAAAACTAAAGCCAAAGTTGTTCGGTAAAAAGTTCAGATAAAAAAAAAAAAAACCTCAAGATTAAGAGCTTTGAAAAGGCACATTCAAACAAATACAGAAAACTAATAACCTTGTATAATTTAGTTTTTTTTTTAAATTGACGAGGCTGAAGCCTGCTGACTAGTGTAGGGCAGCAAACGTGTGCATGTGTTTGATTTGTCTCTATTTGTCATATCCTGACTAGCAAGTGAAGCACTTCCTTGTCCAGGCTGTGTGTGCTGAGAGTAGGATGGGCGGCACTGTGCTGGAAGATAACATGTGGCCCCTCCAGGCCCCGCACGCTAAACTGAGTCTTTAACCCTCTGAATGAGGAATCTTCTTCATTAATCCCCACACTATGTCTCTTAGCACTTGAATTTTAATGGGCTCTCTTAGCCTTTTTTCTTAATACTATGATATTTCCCCCAAACACGTCGGGTGAGGATTTCTGGAGGGGTTTTTTTTCCTCTTCGAGAATTGGTTTCAGCTGCTGGCGCACTCAGGGCTGTTATGTTTCACTTAGAGATGAGAGAAAGTGAGAGAGAGATGCTGCGTCTTGCTCTAATAAAATCATGCAAGGGGTATTAATTCCTCTTGAAGGCCCGAGTCAAAAGAAAAGGACCTTTTGAGAGAGAAGCGATCAGAACAGTATATGTGTGTTTGTGTTGAGAAATTAACAGTTCACCCAAAAATGAACATTTTGTCATCATTTATGCAGCCTCATATCACCCCAGCCCCATATTATTGTTATTATCTTTAATATTTGTTTTTCCAAAAGGAAGAGCAAGGCTGAATTTCTGAGCTGTTCGGAAAAAGGTCTAAAAAGCAGCATAAAAGTATACCCAAATCGCAATATTCCAAGTTGTACAATAGCTTTGTGGGATGAACAGATGAAAATGTATCGATTATTTTGGTATTTACTGAAATCTTATTCCCCTCCAGAACTCACAAATCACTAATGAGATCATTTGTATGATTCATTGTGTTCAATTCAAAAATGGCACCTTTAAAAGCCTCACATCAGCTTTGATATCACTGATGCTATCGGTTTAAACAGAAGCTCAGCCCTTCTGCCTAATGGATGTCTTTTTGTTTCATAGAAGAAAGAAAATAATACGGGGGTTGAAATGACATGATCAGTAAACAGACATAGACAAAATACTCATTAGGGGTAAAATATTCCTTTAAAAAGTGAGGTTTTAATTACTATCCAATTGGTTTTAAAAGAACCTTTATCAAACAAATAGATCTGGTCCTGGGTTCTAATTGGTCAGCATTCCAGCCTTGCTAAAATATACAATAGAGGAACAGCTAAGAAGCAAAATCCTGTTCACCAAGCTACTGTGTACATCACTGAGCAGCACCTATAGAGACCAAATATTGACCTCAGTTTACACATGAACCTTAGTTCATGGACAGTATGTTCCAGTGGAATGATGGCATTAGATTGATAAAGATATATATATATATAAAAAAATGTTTTTTTAGAGAATTGGTTTTAATGAAAATTATATACTGTACACTAACGGTCAAAAGTTTGGAATAATTAAGTCTTTGTTGTTGTTGATGGTTTTGATATAAATATCTTATGCTCACTAAAACTGCACTTGTTTGATCAAAAATACAGTAAAACCAGTAATATTGCAGGAAAAAACGTCACTTTCACTAAAATATTATTACAATTAAAGCTGTTTTAATATATTTAAAAATGTAATTTGTTCATCTGTAACACAAAGTTTGTGTTAAGTAAGATTACAAATAAAAAAGAAGAAAGGAAAGGAAGGAAGGAAGGAAGGAAGGAAGAAAGAAAGAAAAAAAGAAAGAAATACACTTTTATTCAGCAAGGACTCAAAAGTGAAAGTAAAGACTTTTATAATGTTACAAAAAAAATCTGTTTCAAATTCATTTATATTTCTATCTATTACAGAATCTTAAATAAATATCCCAAATTCAACAAAAATTCATGGCTGCTGAAAGTTAAATTACATTTTAAAATATATTCAAACAGAAAACAGCTACTATTTTACTGTTTTATTATTATTATTATTATTAATGTAATAATATGTTAGTGTATTGTTTATAATAATATAAAAAAATAATATAATTTTATTTTTACAAAAGATTAAAAGATTTGTACAAATCTTAATTATTCCAAACTATTATCTATAATAAAATATGTTATGTAGTAACCAGCTAAAAAAAAAAAAGTTTAATTGTCTGTTAAATTTTAAGTTCCACAAATAAGTTTTTATTTAATAAGTGTATCTATTTCAAGCATATCAGTAAATATCTTTGTGTGTGTGTGGGGGTGTTTGTCATTTCACAGACTTCTCTCTCCTGCCAAGCTTCCCCTCCTCCAGTCCTCAGTGTAAAACACCTACCTGTTGGGATGCCCTCCTGCTTGGGGTAGATTCCTCTGGCGGGCGTCAGTCGTTTTTCCTCCTCCTCTCCCGGAGTGACCTGGATCCCAACCTCTACCGGTCCAGACCTCCGGCAGACTTCCGCCCGTGGCGGTCTGGGGGACGGGGAGTCAGTCGGTTTGTCGAAACAGGAGCTAGATCCAGGGCACAGTCTCCTTTTGTGCTCGATAAACACTAGAATATCTCCCAGGGGGAAGTTGGTTTGACATTGACCGCAGGTCAGCAGGTCACTCTCTCCGGCTCCGCCCACAGGACTGGCTATGGAGCCCTCTGATGGGCACTGATCCACCCCTGCGTCATGATCTGCTGCAACAGAGCAGAGAAATTAGAGGAAAAAATATCCATTAATGCATGACTCTATTTTAGGCACATTATGATTAATAATAATAAGTGGCTTACAATAATCAATTTTTAGCTGCAACAGCTCAATTTGCCACAGATAGTTGCAAATAACTGAGATAAAATCCTGCCAGTGTATTTTGTATAAATTTGAATATTGATTTAATGATCAATTTCTTGTTATATATACTGTATATATTTCACTATTCACCAAAGTGATTTGCAAAATTTGCTGCTAACTACAACGGCGTGAAGAATATTTCATGTTTGGCAAGTACAGGTGAACATGATCTGATTTTCTAAAAGATGTTTAACCACATTCAAGTCCAGACTGAAAACATCTGCTTGCGTTCTCAAATTAACCACTGTGCTGACATTTTTACTGATTACACTGATTTCAGTTTTTACTAACTGAACTGATTATTAATACTTTTTTCTTTTTAATACATATTTGAATTAGTTTTTGACCGTTTTTGTTTCTTTTCTTTTTTTAATCTACTGTTTTTAAAAGACCATTCCATCATTATTTTTATTTATCCCTGTCATTCATGCTGTTATTTTTTTTAAGAATCTTAAACACAAAGTAGATCAAATATGTTATCATTTTTAGCTCCTTAAAGCATTATGTACACATCAAGCACTATATTATAAGTCCTCAGAAAGCATTTCAGAGCTCTGTATGGGGAATTTACGTTATTTAAGGTGTTCATTGAAATGTTATCCACTTCATCTGTCTCCAAATCATATCTGACGAAAAGGACACATTTCAGTGAATTATGTCTTAAATTGTAGTCTGTCACAAAAAAACTATTATGGGTAATTCAGAAGACCAAACATGAGTCAATTAGATTATGTTTATGCTGCTTTTTGTCATTTATGGAGCTTGACTGGCATTGTCACATTTAACTGTTATTGTATGGAAAAGAGCTGCATAAAGATTCTTCAAAATGTATCCTTTTTTTATGGAAAGGCACATCCAAGTTTGGAATGACATGATCGTGGCTAAATAATGACAAACAAAATATTTTATTAAATTTGACTTTTACATCTCTCTTCAAAGCTCTTTTTCTTTATTATGTAAAGCATTTTAAATTAACATTTCGGTCTATATAAAATATGCAATAACATAAATACATATGCCTTGCCTTGACTAGTTAGTTTTTTTATAGAAGGTTTCTATATGACAAATTGTTATTGGTGTGTCTGTGATTTTTGTTCTTCCGTTATAGTGAGCTACAAATCTGTTGGCTATCAAACTAGTCCAGACATGATTAACTTGCTTGTTGGGGTATTGCATGTACTGTAGACTCCAGACGACGAATGAGTTCTTTTAAATAACTTCATGGATCGAAATGTTCAACACATTTGCAGCTATCCTCACAAATCGCCTCAAGCTGAGCGTGTCCAAAAATCTTCGGATAGAATCTGTTAATGGAAAAGAAATGTCTCTAGTATTAGCACAAGTTACATGTGTCTGATTCAGTCTTCATAAAGCACAATTCACAGCTCACACAGCATAGACTAACACCTGTGAATTGCACAGTAAGATCAGTAGGGAGAGAGTGTGTGTGTGTGTGTGTGTGTGTGTGTGTGTGTGTGTGTGTGTGTGTGTGTGTGTGTGTGCGTGTGTGTGCGTGTGTGACAGGTAGTACAGTCGAAGCCTTGCAGTGGTAACTGTGTTTCCGGTCTACTTCTCTGCACGCTGGACGGATGCTGGAGAGGTGCACATGCACCATACAGGTATGTCGCAGCAGACAATCTAGCGCTTACAAAAGCCGCAAAACAGCCTCAAAATACGCTCTCAGGCATGAGTCGTCTCGCCTGTCAGCGCATCACAGGTGCACGTTGGGAACAGTGGTTAAGGAGCGTCATAAACAGCCGTTTCGTATGTGAAAATCAGTTACATCTTTATCACTTCGTACCCTCACGGAATTCCCTGTTTGGCATCTCAATGCCGTTTTCCCGCATTATTGTCAATGACGAAACAGTCAAAGCACACTATTTGCTGTGAAATGCATCGGACTCAACACAAAACCACATTGAGATACAAAACAGATTCACAGAGAAAAAAACAGCAGCAGTATGAGATCCGATAGCAAATCAACTCCAGTCTCTGCCTGAGGGACAAACACACACTGGTTGGCTGTACGCTCTTAAATAAATTAGGTTCTTTATTGGCATCTATGGTTCAAGAAGAAACTTTAACATCCATGGAACCTTTTCAATGCACAAAAGGTTCTTTATATTATAAAATACTCTGCACACGAAGAAAAAAAAACTGTTGTTTTAATAACTGTTACTGAAAGGATCTTTGGGGAACCCAAAATGGTTCTTCTGTGGCATAAATAAAAAATAATGTGTAAAAAACCTTTTGGAACCTTTATCATTAAGACTGTAGGGGCCATGGGAAGAGCATGTTGAAGTTGAAGAGCAACTCAATTCTTTTAAAACTATATTCTTGATCTGTATTAAATTTAGAACCTCCACCATCACAGAGCCGACCAAAGTCAGTTTGAGCAGCATGTGATATCTAAACAGAATGATCTGAAGGACGCCTGCGAGAGCAGCACCGGGCCGCTGCCACACACTCGGCTGTCTGCAGCTCTCCCCCAGAGCAGTGGAGTGATGCCAAGAAGGAGAACACAAACATCGTGGGCTTGGCATGGACCCAATGCCCACGGAATTGTGCACGGAGGGTGTGCTTGGGTGGCAGCCACGGCGTCCTAAACGGGCCAGACGCAATAGAAGAAGGTGTATGTGAGAGTCACAGGTGTACAGCAGATGATGTGTGTGTTCTGTGATATTTCAATCAGAAGCCGAAACTCAAATCTTTATAGAAAATAAAAAGTGTGTAAAAAAGCTGGAAAGCCGATATATCATAAATTGCACACACCATCAACTTAGGTTTTCTATGAATAATAATACTACAGTGAATTTACAGATGTTTGCTCACTATACAGTGGAATTAAAAAGTCTACTTTTAGAATCTTGGACCTGCAATCTAATTTAAACTAGGAAATGAACATTACATTTTAAAACAAGAAACAATATGCTGAATAATGAGCAAGATTCTTCACTATTCCTATTTCACTAATTTAAAAAAGCTGATTTGTTGCACTGATCATTTGAACTTTAGACCAAAAGTCAGATTTGCCTTGCACTGAAATATAAGATATAATCTTTGAAACATTTTCAAATCATGCTGCACAATGTAATGATCTTTTATTTAATTTTTTTCACAAACTGTGGAGCTCATGCAGTTCGAATGCTGCTGTTATTAAAGCAAACAGAGTAATTTGTTTTAAATTCACCTTTTTGCTGAAATTGTTATGTTGATAATATGATGCACAGTTTAAAAAACATATTGGGGGGAAAAAATGCACTCTTATTAGTGGTCTAAGATTTTTGAATCTCACTTTATAAGAAAACAGGAAAAGATTTACGTGAAGAGGAAATCAGTACATACAAATATATAACATTGAGGATACTCTATTAAAAAGCATTTTAGTAATACAGTAGTAATTAGAGTCATTAATAATAGAAGAAAGCATATAACCATTTATATTTGAGATAAGATGTATGGTCATAAAAAAAAATACTGATCTACTATTCTGAATAACTGTGAAAATCGATTCATCATTTGTAATAATAAATAATTTGAGGTAAAGTTTATTGTGGTTATGGCTCTGAATTAAGGCAATAATATAAAAAATAACAGTGACAGAGAACACTAAGCGCATTCAGAACAAAGATTATGAGGGATATATATTTGCGGGACCGTTAACGTCTTCAGCATGCGTTAAAAGATTTTGCCTAATGTGATTTTTTTAGCTCACCAGGTGCATTTCCCAAAAAATTATCCATGTGCTTGATACCGTCTGTTTCTTATCTTCATTTAAGGCCTATACACTGTCAACTGCTTCTGGATGTGTGCCAAACAAATGCACACGATTCTGAAATGCACGTGTGCGCCCTAACAACTCTTCCCGAACCCCACAATTTCACAAAAAGCTGTGTGCTCGAACTCAGAACCACAAATATTATTTTAAAGAGTTGGTTGGAGGCAAGGACATGAAATGTTTAGCACAGTGGGCACAGCGTCTCTATTACTGCTCCCCAGGGTGAAATCTATACTCCAATAAATTGAATTAATTACCTTTAGTGTAAGATAAGAGATTTATACTGAGCCTGTTGTGGGAATGATACACTTGGGAGGAGAGATAGCAATTCAGGGTATTAACCATTATAAATACAGTTATCACGTTTCCTGAAGGCAGTAATCAGATTCTCAAAGAAAACACACACACAAACATACACCGTCTCTATCACTTTCCCTCTCGTAAGGACTTACAGCACCCCCTATCAGCTTCAACCGTGCACATTTACACTCCACTGAAGCTGTGCAAACCAGCAAACACGACACTCATAAAATAAACCGAAATAATGTGCAGCGGAATAGAGACTCGCCTATTATATTTGCCAAGTCAGGTCAGACGAGTCCGATCAGCAGGTAACCACACGTCCATCAAACACCTCTCGGCTCTCACGGTTTGTGAAATAAGTTCTCTCGAAGGCAGTGCTAACATATACAAAAAGGGTGGACATCACCATAAAGTCACTCCTAAAGAACAGAGCCACTTGTAAAAGGCTGATGTGACCCTTTCCACCCTTTGGTGTGGCGGTTCATGCCTTGCGTTTTAATAGCATGATGACCACCGGCCACTGAATGATCAAGGAAAACATCATGTGAACATTCAAAGAGCTGACATTCACAGCCATTAAAGAATCATTTTACATTTTTAAGAGCCAGTAAGGGCCCTAATGGATGGCCCCCACCCACATTTTACCATTTCAAGCAAGCCGTCCAAAAGTCGGTGAGTGAACCAGAGGCAAACTACTCATGTAATGAATCATACATGTTCACACGATTTACATGCTACTTATGAAAAAACTAAAAAACTAACGAGGTTCTTTGGCACTGAGGTGGTTTGCTGAAATCTAAATACGAGCGGTTTCACCTCTTAGATTTCCTCAAGAACCCATATTTGCTTCTGCAAGAGCCCTGCAATTTTAGGTCGTGGCGACTTCTTTAATGCACACACCTGTACATGTACATGCGGGCGGAGAGTGCGCCCCGCGTTTATTTCAAGACGTGAAGTATGCTGATTTTCCTGTTCCTTGGTTTTCTCTCTGAGTGTGATCTATAGGTCTTGTCGCTCTGGGCAGAATCTATTGTGCAACCTCCAGCTAACTGACATGTTTTGTGCCAAAAGCATTGACATAGCCAAATGAGGGCACTTTGGTTTTCCCCCGCAGACAGACAGACACCCCAGAAAGAGCCTGTGAAGACTGAAATGGAGGTTGGCGTGCAAACCTGAACGGAGTCCACTTAAAAAGTGTTGGTTTACACTCTGTACACATGCGATAGAGTGTATAGAGCGCACAATGTAAACTGCACATTTGCCAACTGACACACACACACCACCAGACTAATTATGTTTGAACTAAACACATATTTGAGACACAGTATAATGATTCTGCTCGAAAAAAAAAAACGTACACTGGACGGGTTTTGCTGTACAAACATACATATTTAAGCGAGCACTAATGTACAAGGTGTTTTAGTATTTATTAGTCACAACAACTGGAAAGAAACCAAAAAAAAAAAGTATTCTGAGAAAATAAAAACTAAAAGCAGCTAACTATCTGCTAAATAAACAGCATCAGGTGAAATATACCGGCAGTCCCGCAGTGCATTGAATTTAAAGGCCACCGCTCTCTGTAAGCCCACCCACTCCTTCAACACATTTTTCTCATCGCCTGTGTTTTTGTTTTCTAAACCGGCAACATAAGCATCATTATGTACAAGGTGTTTTAGTATTTATTAGTCACAACAACTGGAAAGAAACCAAAAAAAAAATGTATTCTGAGAAAATAAAAACTAAAAGCAGCTAACTATCTGCTAAATAAACAGCATCAGGTGAAATATACCGGCAGTCCCGCAGTGCATTGAATTTAAAGGCCACCGCTCTCTGTAAGCCCACCCACTCCTTCAACACATTTTTCTCATCGCCTGTCTTTTTGTTTTCTAAACCGGCAACATAAGCATCATTAACAGTGCAGATTTTGACGTGTAAAGACCATCTACTCACTACTGAATCAGATATTTTCAGGAAGGCACGCCTTCGCATTGTACCCACATTCTCAGTGTAACCAGAAATACCAAAATGAATAACAAGGCATAACGCAATGAGCATCAAAAGTAAAAAAAAAAAAAGGCGAACATTTCTAAAAATAAAATCATTTGTAAAATATTGCAAGTTTTTACCAGGAATTATTTGATAAATACAAACATTTAAAACAGAAGCTTTGGAGTTCAATTTCACAAATACTATGGGTGTACGGGGTAAATCATATCTGTGATATGCAATGTATTAATCGTGGATAAACGTTCCTAGTCTTTTATTGTTTATGGCTACAATGAATGTTATAAACACTTGTAAACATTGTGTAAAGATTATATCATTGAGCTGTTATAAATTAGACAGATTAGGTCTTTATGATTTTTTTTATGTAAACACTGCATTATGTCACTCTGAAAAGTTTACATTGCAACTAATTTATGCTTCTTTTTCTTGTGCAAGAAAAGCTTTTAGGGGAATGAAAAAACTAGGCAAAAAGAAAACTTAAGGGTTTAGAGTACTTCAGTGCTTTTATATGAAGCTTTACTAGTGGAAAGAGTGCGTAAAGCATCTTAGATAAAAGGATAAATTGAAGATGAACTTAAGGAGTGTGTTGTTTTTTGACGATGAACACCAAGGTCCATGCATGTGAACCCTGATATTGTTAAACAGTGGTTATGATTAAAACGCATAAGCACTTTTGTTTTGTTTTTTAGATGTAAATGAACAACAGACTATCCAGCAAAGTTGGAGCCTTTTAAAGAAACTCCATAAAGTAAACTTGATAAGCCATGTATGCTTGTGTATACGTGTGACAATAACAGAAAATAGGTGAGTGTGTGTGTGTGTGTGTGTGTTGAGTGGGACAGAGCAGAATGTGTGGGTCTCACAAAACTGTATGTGTTATGTTTAGCACGCCGAGATTGTTCAAATCAATCATTCACGGTAAATGAGAAATGTATCATCATAGTAATGAACTGATAGTGTTTCAAATAAATAAATAAACACAGTAACAACTAACAGGCCTCACATGTTGGTTATAGATATCAATAAATACAGCCTAATAAGTAAACCTACAACTTGGCTTGCTGTTATTATTTTCGGTTCTAATTAAGTTAACCGGATAGTGCACATAATTACATTTTGCAAAAACAACTTATATGCTTGACTTGATGGTTTTATGAGCTGATGATCCTAAATGTGCAAAATGTAATTAAGTTAACCTTTTTAGTTAGGATAGTGCACATAATTACATTTTGCAAAAACAACTTATATGCTTGACTTGATGGTTTTATGAGCTGATGATCCTAAATGTGCAAAACACATGTAACACTGCAAAATTAAAAAGCAAATCAGAAAAAAAGAAAAAGTTTTCTTTGCCCTTATACTGCGTAATAATGAGGGAATGGCAGTGGGATAAAGGTGGCAGAGGTCTTGTACTCACTCGGTAGGTTCTCCCTCTGTGTGAGGGACAGATGCTGTGGGTTGCCTTGCTTCCTTCGGGACATCGCCCCGCATTTACAGCAGCATCTCCCGGACACTCGGACTAATGTTCGCGCTCCTGAAGCTCTCCAAACTTTCCTCCACAGCCCGGGTACTCCACTGCGCTCGCTCGCGGGCTAGTCTAGTCGTTATCACGGCACAAACTAGCACTTGTACTCTGTGAACAGACTAAATTGTATCCGACTGTCGTGAAGCATTAACTAAGTGCCACTTGACCTGAGACAGTAATGCGTGCGCTGCGACCCGCAAGCAGCTTCTTTAACCCCAAAACCCTGTCTCAAAATTCAAATAGTCTTTCTTTAAAAATCCCTAAAACATAAAGACAGTTATTGTCCTGCTATAATGGAAAATCCAAGATCTGTGGACGGCGGGCTCGCCAGGTGAGAGAAGTCTTTGGCACTGTCCTCCATGTGCGCTTGGCATCAGAGCGCAGAATGGCTGAACCTCTGAAGACAACACCTCCTCTCCAGATCAATCACGACCCGAGCAATTACGTCTCGCATTCACGCTGGTTCACAGGGAGGACCCGGCGCCTGTGTGTGTGGCAGGGGTTGCCTCTGAAGAATGGAATGGGATTCAAGTTCAAGTACGGACTTGATGTGACGCGTGGCGCTGGGGGCGACTAGTGGTGGCAGTTTGGGTACAGAGGGGTCTCCGAGCCCACCAGCAACGCTCCCGTCGCTGCACTGTCTGTTAAAAAATAAAATAAATCCTGCAAAATTTACGGAGGGGAATCAGACAGCTTGGTTGCAAGAAATTCACTGACAGTAGTGTTTAAACACTATAATACAGGATGCAATTTTAGTGCTCGTTTATGTTGCAGGTCAAAACCTTAAAATCCATTAAATGGAATAATATAGGTTATAAACATACTTAAACAGGTTACATTAGATTTGCACTTTCAAATACAACTTACTGATAACAGAAGAGCACATGCTAAATTAACAGAGCTACAGAAACGCAAAAGCCCGTCAAGGTAACACATATGACGCGTAGTAAAATAATGCAATAAACATTGCATAATAACGGAGCAGGCAACAAAACATTAAAATGAATAGGCCTACGACTGAGGATAAATAAAATAGCCTTTTATAAAAAGTGATGTGTCGGGCAGAGACGTCTGGGACGTCATTTTACAGGCTCTCACTGGAAATTATGAGGTAAATAAATGTATGTTTTAATATTATAACGTCATCTAAAAATAGATATTTATATTTTTACCATATTTTCAATGGCAATTCATGCTTTTTAATTCACTAAAACCTTTAAACTGTGAAATTAAATGTACTGTGCGGTTAAATCGAAAGGTACCTACACTCTAAAAAATGCTGGGTTAAATATAACCCAGTGCTGGGTAAAATAGGGACAAACCCAGCAATTGGGCTGTTTTGACCCTGGGTCAAAACAGCCCAATTGCTGGGTTTGTCCCTATTTTACCCAGCACTGGGTTGTATTTAACCCAGCATTTTTTTAGAGTGTACTATATTTTTTACTGTAGCATTTTACATATACATGTTTAGAATAATATGTTCGCATTTCTGTATGAACTAGTATTAGCCATCACTGTCAGCAGAAAAAAAAGAATACTTAAAAACAGGTTTCTTACACTGTCGTGGGGATATAATATAATAATGCACAATTTTATAGAAATAACTTAATAACTGGGGATTTTGGCTAAACTAATGTAGAAACTGGCTCTACATTTTAATAAAATGCTGTGTTTAAGAAAATAAAAGATGGTCCTAACATCATGTGCTGTATTTTGCATTTAATTTACAGTAGTAGTAGTAGTAGTAGTAATAATAATACACTCTAAAAATGCTGGGTTGTTTCAACCCAACTTTGGGTCAAATATGGACTAACCCAACTTTTGGGTTAAAAATGTAATGTAAAAATGTTACCCAAAAGTTGGGTTAGTCCATATTTGACCAAAGTTGGGTTGAAACAACCCAGCATTTTTTAGAGTGTAATAATAATAATTCATTAACCAGTCAGTACAGCTTGCAGATCTCCAATGCTGAGATCCAAGGTAAGTAATTTTGTGTGCTGGGCCCTCTCTGCACATGTGTGTCCTGTTTCCATTTAAGCCAATAGCGCCACCTGATGGTCTACTTTGGACCTAAAGCGTGTTCATTGAGACGAGGGTTAGGGCAGGTTTCCCCACATCTGCTCCACATCAACACATATAAAGAAAAAAGAGCATAGAAGAGACCGGGGCTAGTTGTCACATGGGCTATATTAGTCCATCTGAGTACTGAAGGTTTTGAATGAAAAGTCCCATTACATAAATGTGTGTTTTCTTGCTGTTGTTTTCCTTTGTTGGTTGCAAACACTTAATCAATTTTAGACTTCACTTTGTGAATCATAACAAGTTAAAAATTTTAGGTAGGCCTATGTGCATATAGAGAAACTTAAAATATCTTAAAAATTAAAAGTACCCTGATAAATAACAACTGAACAAAAAAACTAGTCCTTTAGCCTCTCCAATTTAGTCTTAATATTAGAGCCTACAAAAAATTTGTTAAGCACATTTTAGGGATTTTAATTAAATGACATCTTGCCCCTTCTTTCCATCACAGCAGATGAACTATGATAAATGGCATATCACTTCACACTGAAGCAATAACTACAGTCAGTGTAGTCAAGCCCCAGAGCAAAGTCAGATTCATCAATAAATCATGATTTTTTCCATTAAGGGTTACCGTTGTTGCCTCTGGGAGAGGAACACCATTATACAATGGCAACACGCAAGACACTGAAAAAAAGTTTATGCTGTTAGTTTGGTCGTGTCTCAGTAGTGACAGGTAGACTGCATTTTTTGGGCATCACAGACACGTTCTCACATGCTCACATGGCTCAGTGACCTGGAACGCATACATGATGTAAAAATACTCTCTAGGTTTTAAAACACTGTCTCTGTCTTCACTCTGAAATGTCTGGATGGTGATTAAGAACAGAACACACCATGCAAGACTTTTTGGGACACAAAATTTGTAGATATTGCATATATTCTGTAAAAATATTAGGTAAATAATGGCAAACCTACTGCACATTTGACATATTCATCATGACAGATTCGTCAATAAAAATCATGTTTTATTGATGGATCTGATAAACGAATAAACTCTTTGAGCCAAGAAAAAATAATAGGTACAGCCAATGCAATGAAAAATCAAACATCAAATAAACAATAAAAAAGCTATTTTAGTAATCATTTTTATATTTAATTAATTTTTTTACAATAATTAAATAATAATAATATTTTTTTTTTAATTTTGCTTTACACTAAACAGACTGAAATGTATCAAATAACATGACTAATGAAACCCTTTCCACACAAATATAGCACTTTCTTGAGATTGAAACTTTAACTGTTATTTATACACAACGAGGCGATATTTGCTCATAAAAGGCCTTTGTAATCTAATTATATTTAAATGAGTTTGAGAATTTGACAAAGATTTTATAAACTATTCAACAAAAGGCATTTAATTAAAACATTATTAAACCGTTCATTAGTTTAATGTATCTGTCTTACTGTAAAAAAAAACAAAAAAAACTGGGATAACTGGGAATAATATATTAATTATGGTAGCATCAACAATAATGGCAATCAGAATGTTTATGATCTTATTGATTATTGGCCTTTATGTACAGTAGTTTGTCATGTCCACAGTGGACTGAATGTCTGACTCTTAAAATCGCGGTCACTTACGCCCACTATTGGATGCATTTGCACAACTCAATCTTCACAATTCACTACCTTTATTTACAGTACACACAGAAAAAAATATCAAGCCTGGACAATTTTAACATTTAAAATCGATAAATATACTTTAAATTGTGTCTTATCATTTGTCGAAGCTAAATTCTGTATAAAACTGAAACTGACAAACAATAACAAATTATAAAGAATTACCAACTAAATACTAATCACAACATTAACCTGTCTGAGACAAGAGAAATTGTCTGTTTTACTGTGACCATGGTCATAAAATGCATCACTTAATTGCCTATAGTCCCTCTGTGTGAGCTACTAGTGATCAAGATCCTTTTTTTTTCATTTTAATGGTCAAAATAACTATAGCTCCTGAAGGGTGACCAGGTAACACGAGTAGTAAGGGCTTCACATGGGATTCACAAATGATTATTATTTAATATATTTTAGGTGGTTAGTATTTGTAAACGAGGCTTATCTCATTTGGTATTTTTTTATTACCTCATAATCTTAATACTAAATTTGCTGTTAGGCTACTTATTGATTACTTGTTTCCATATTAGTTCATATTTGTAGCTGAAGTGTTACTGTAGTACTACTTATTTGTCCTGCATTACTTCTGCTAAATAAACAACAACTAATAAAAATGAGTTGACAACCTGTCTGCTAATCTTCAACATGTTTGCTATTGAACATTCACGTTGGATTGATTGATTTAAGAGATGTTTAATCAAGAGATAAAAATGCAGCAATTAAGCACCGTTTACTATTTTTATTTAAAATTCATTTCATATTTAGCAAAATGGCATACACGCTCAAATGACTTTGAAGGGCATAAAAACACTTTTCCAAAATTGAGAAGCACAGTGGAAATATATATATATATATATATATATATATATATATATATGTTAATAGTTACAAGTGTTAATAGATGTGTGTTGTCCTTGATAAATAAATAAATACACAGTTTATGTTTTATTTTTATAGTAAACACAATACATACAAATATTAAATATTTACAAATATTCCATTAAACATATTAATATGCTAAATAAATGCTTTAAGCCGCCTGGTCCCAGCTGTTGGTCTCTGATTTTGTTTGCCATGTGCTCCTTTTTTTCTGGAGCTGACTGACCCACACCTGCACTGTCCTGTTGAAGGAACAAACATAATGATGTAACGCTGAGCAGATTTAATGAGAGTGATTCTTAGAGAAAATCTAAAGATAAATTGCTTCTACCATTTCAGTATGATGGGGGTTTCTGAATTGAAAAGGATATACTCATCCCAGATAAATTTACATATTGAAATATAATACACAGTTTTAACTAGAGGATGTGGAAAAAAGTAGCAGTAAAACAGAGATAGAAGGTACTAACCATCTTCAGGGTGAGCTGGGACATGGGCTGTGGGGTTTGATGGTTCAGCCTCCCCAGTTTTAAGCTTCAGCTGTGGCTTGTCGACATCCACACACAGTATGTTTTACATAGGTGGCTCACACACATCTACATTGTCCTGTTGAAGGAACAGCCATAATCATGTAATGCTGGGAAGGTTTATAAAGTGCTTCTTTAAATCTAAAGATATATCCTTCTATTGTTTTGAAATATAATGTAATATGATTTCACATAGACAAACATAGTAGCTTAGGTGAAGGCAGTGTTTAATCTTTCCAATAAATCTGAAAGTAAGTAAAAACAAGAGATGGAAGGGACTTACTGATGCCTTATGCTGCCTCCGCTGTCTCTGCTGCTGTCTCCACTGTTCCCTCCGCTTCTGCTGCTCTGTGACTCTGTGGTTTGCTCCC